AGACCACAAGAATGCCGCTCAACTATGTTGGCACGACGAAACGGAAACTAAAGAGGAAAACGAAGATGCACGAGAAAGATCGTCCTGAGTGGAGATTATGTGGTTTTTGCTTATCTCACCAAAACAGTTATTTGCCACTTATAATCAAGTCATGATCCGTAGTCTGGCCTGTTATTTGCTCTGCATCCTGCAACGGGGCTCGTGTGGTTGCACCTTCTACTTAGTGAATGTCTTAGATTTCATCTCGCAAGAATTATATCAATTTGTCATTATTTATGTTTATGGCATATTGGATTCAAATCATTATTAGTATTTACACAATGAATTACATATTTATAAACTTTTGAAAATGTGGATTTTAGAAGCTCAGTTAGGAATATAAAGTTATTTTTGTTGCAAAGAAAATCCAGGACATGATAGCGATTGGGACACTAAGGACATAGCTAACCGGGTTTTGGTTTGAAATTGTACTTGTCGACTTTATGATGTATGATTAAGATTTTTGAAATTATTGGGTTGAAAATCGACTAAGTGCTTATCATCCCGAACCGGGTCATCTACTGGCCTTGTTCCCTACTGAAATAGATTTTGCAATTTTCTGAAAGCTATCATATTCGTGGTTTGATTGTTGCAGACATATTGGTGTAATTTACTATTTAGTTTTTTTTACTATTTTGTAAACAAATAGTAAAAGACTTACCGGTATTTAAAATTAATAATAATCAAGAATGAATTAGGCCTAACTGAATGATCAGCATTGTTTGTAAATACGTATCGAATAAAAAAATATCAGACATATCAACTGGAAAGGTAAAGTTTATAATTGAAGATGAAAACTAGTGTTTTCAAAGAATAAAATCGTATAGTTGCAAAAACAGGCAAATAAAGTGTTTTAACTATACTTCTAAGTTTGTCATGTAAGTCTAACATATGAAATTTAAAATAAAATGATTAACTAATGACACCATAGAGTTAATATTTCCTTTACAATTTCTGTACGATTCAACAAACCACAATCAAAATTTAATCCACACACGATGAAAACAACTGAATATCTTAATTTGAACTCTAATATATTAGGATATTTCGGATAACATGAGTGGGGACATCATCAATAATATTATCACAGAATTTGTCAATGGCCTTATCGTCTCATCTTGATAACACCTAATATAGTATACGTGAATGCCCATCCGTGTCGTAAGCTGTTTTTCATATTAGATCAAGGCCAGGTAACGTTTTGCGATTAATAATACCTATGTCTATTAGATGAAAGGCGATGCTCAATGATAAAACTAACCTTATTCGTATTTTCGAAGAAATTATTTTTGCTTGGAATGGATCAATTAGGAGTTTTGGACTTGTTTTGGGCACATCTACTACAAACTAGGTTTTGAACGCTCAAAAGAGTTTGATGCTTTCTTTATTTAAATGCCACTGGTGCAGACACTAAAAAATAAAATATAAAGAATTCTTGATCTTCTAGCTGGTTTGTTCTTCACAACCTTTAATGCAACAGTGCCTGCAACCCGGTTAAATTAGGCGCTCTATCACTCATTGTCTTTAGACAAAAGAACAAATTCCTCGCGAATTCTTCCTTTGCATTACTCAACCAGTGACAATTGCCCACACAATTATCCTTATGTCGAAACGCACCCCATGAGATCCTAGGGCAGATGTCGACATGACACTCCAGGAGCTTTCTACAACTTCCACCTGTACATCGCCCCTCGCCACCCGGGGTTCCGCGTATCCATGTCAAGAGGAGCACGACGATGGTTGTGAAATGATCTTTGAAGGAGTTCTCAAGTCTTCTGGAGAGCTGCGAGCTGAAGAGTGGTCGGCACTTGAAGACTATTGTAGTTGAGGAGTTAACTGCTAATATACGTGGGTTTTTGTGATATTACCGAAATTGCGTTGGGTATGGATGGATACAGGATACTAAGGAATACGGAGTAAAACAAAATTGATTTTTCCTATTATATCTGTATTATATACAGTACAACATTTCTCCAATCGTACGGATACAAACCGTTCAAAGACGTTTGTTATTAATTTTCTGCATTGTGACAACTAATTCAAAGATTGCTTTGTTTACTGAAGTCACAGCAAATTAATACACGTTATTAGGATGATCTTGCTAATTAATAGTCAAGAGCCAACGAAAAAAAGTGATCGTGTGATAGTAGTTTACGCAACGATTGCGTAAAGATAGTGTTAATAACAATACGAGTAGAAAATTTAAGGTACGAGCCTTGGCGAGTGCCTTAAAACACTTCTACGATTGTCGTTAAGATTCCTTGGAGCCTAGACGTTCTAACTGGTAAACAAATTAAAGTACCACAAATAAAATTTCTAATCTCACAGTATACTAGATATTTAAATTACAATCACTCTGGTGTTAAAAAAAAATATTTTGAGATTAGCTGTTTGAAATTAACGAAATTAACATTGCTCTTATGTCGGATAAATCCAAGATGGCCGGTAGCTTCCATGGACTCCGTTGGAGGACAATTCACAACTACAAAGAACGTTTCTAATTTCACAGTATACTAGATATTTCAATTATAATCAATTCGGTGTTCGAAAAAATATTTTTGGACGATAAATAACTCTTCAGCAGCTGTTTGAAATTATCCAACTGAACAGCTGATTATGTAGTTGAAGTTTGAATCATTGCAATTTTACTTATTCTCTTTCAATCCTTGAACCTCATCTCATTGGTCCGTTACCCGTGTTGTTATGAGTAAAACTATGCTATTATGAAAGTAAACAATGCTGTTATGGGTCACTTTTCAATTCTAAGATCCGAACTTTAAAAAAAACTGTGGTAGGTAAGTAGTAATGTTAACGATACTCGTCGAAGTTTTTTTCTACTCGTGTCTTTAACACTATCTTTACGCAATCGTTGCGTAAACTACTATATTACTATATTTCTCTTTGTTCCCTAATAATACCAATAAGTAAACCCAAATTAGGATAATTGAACCAAACCAATACGTAACAGAGAAAGTATTCGACGATAATGTCACTTTTGTAACAAAGACAAAAGACAGTCGATTCGCCTTGCTTACGTCAGTTGGCACTGTTGTCAACTGCACAGCTGATTATAAGCATTGAATATAGGGACAGTAGTGTTTGTCACCAGTGATAGTTTATTGTTGCACTTAACCAACTCATTTAATTAGGTCCCAAAATGGTTCCACCTATCTATACTTTATGTAGTTGAATATTCTATAGATTACCAATTGTCTATATATAAAAAAAATATTGTTTTTTTTTTTTATTTTCCGAGTCGATTTGGCTCTTCTAATTTTGGTCTTAAATTAAAGGTATGCACTCACAGATTTGCCATAAAGCATCGGCATTCGTTTATCTGACGTATATTTTCGAGTTATGGTGCACAAAAGCAACTTCCTCCTTGTAAATTTCTTATGGTTTTTCTTTTCCGAGTTCGTATGGCTCTATCTACTACCCGACCAATTTTCATGATTTTGATCTTAAATCAAAGGTAAGCACTCACAGATTTGCCATTAAGCATCATCCTTTATTTATCCACCTACCTTTTAATTCAACCAAAAAACATAAATTAGATTTTTTTCTTACTTCAATTGAAATCGTTTGAATCAGTTAAGTTCTAAATACTGCATTACTCTATCAAAAAACATAAAACTGATTTTCTCGGTTATAGAATTTAATTATTTTGGATATTTTGGATATATTTACTCAATTCTAAATACGTTATCCTATGTTTTGATCTAGTTATTGATTATTAAGATCGGACATACCTAAAGCACGCTCACGCTGCTGAATCACGAACAACCCAAGTTGTTCCAAAAAATAGAGTTATTTATCATTAATCGACGATTTTGCATAAAACCTTAACAGTTATCGCTGATTTCGACGGGTTTCACTTAGGTCTCACTTAATTATTAAGTCCAATTTAATTTAATTTTTAACTTTTAGGTTTATTTTTTAATAAACATAAATTTGATTTATGTTAAATGCATACAAATTTTGTCCGATATTTCTTTGATGTACAGCAACCGCATGTAAACAGCCATGTAGAATATTAGGGGCCTATGTAAATCATTGCATTGCAAATTAAATTGCAAATAGAATTGCGAATTAAAATGTAAACTAAGTTATCGTATTTTGAAGTGTTGTTCGAAATCTGATCAATCAGGATATACTACAGGGAAGTGTTGACACCTTACTTAATAAAGAATTTACACAAAAAACACCTTTTTATTAAAAGCATAATTTTTAGATTACATATTTCTGATGTTTATTATATATGCTAGTCATAATTAATTCATAGACCAGTCGATATAAAATTATGAACATTTTATTGAAATTACAAGTACGGTAGCTCTTTATTTTTAACCATTACTTTGCGTAAAAACTTTACTTGATTTTCGGTTGAAACTTTACTTACGGTATTGAAAGATTGGTAAACTAGTGGCCTGGGGAAAAATTAAATTTGCATGATTATTTTATTAATAGATAGCTAATAGAGTTAATATATAATTGATTTAATGTATATTAAATCTAGTTTTATACAAATGCAGGCCTAATAAAAAATTAAGAGAAGGGAAGGATCGACTTAGATAGTAGGAACAGTATGATAAGTTTAGGAGACGAGACATACTGTGTTGACTGTGTTATTTCGACGATTTAGTGGCTCATTCTATCGAGAAGCCCTGCAACCTGGTAGTAGAAGAAGCCAAGGCCAACCGAAACATTACAAGTCTCGACTCTCGACACCAGAGTCGCTAGCAGCAAGCGGCAAAAGGAAACGTAGCGAAGCGAGCGGCTCAACCTCAGTCAGTTGAATAAAGTACAGCGACAGCGTAAAAATATTATCTGTTGTTAGATACCCATAACCTATTAATAGTTTTCTTAGCAAAATTTGAGAAATTAGTTAACTTTCAGATTTGTTTCATATATATTATTATATTCAACCCTTGTGTTCACTATATTTGAGCAGTCTATGGACATTTTGTCAGCCTTTGGACTTAAATTATTTTCTTAACAGCTGACCGTCGTCTGCAGCCTGCTTGTTTTCTATTTCCATTCCATTCCATTTTGTTTTGCTTTTGCTTGCTTTGCGGCTGTCGGCTGTCCTTTCCTTCCAACTTGTTTTGTTACAGTACAAGTTTCCAGGTTATAAGAAATTCTCTTTAATTAGTGATATGTTTAAAGTTGTGAAAAGTGCACTGAATAAGCAAATATTGTTCAGTAAACAAGGGAGTAGATCGGTAAATTGTCTAGGACTATTAGCAAGAGGACTTTCAACCACAAACATGAATCTCGAACGAGCAGCTGAAGAACTTCAAAACAACCCATACTTTGATAAATATGCAGAGAAAATTGCACAGCTACAGAAAACTTCTCCTGAGGAATTTATGGCTCGATTGAAGGAAAATGAAGAAAGGAAAACCCCTAAGAAACAAGACAACATTTCAAAATCTACACCCATGGCAGGATTACCAGGTAAAGCAAAAGCTGGATCTGTACCATTTACTAAACCTAAACTGCTCTCTGATGTTATGAAGACAGAGTTAATCGAAGGAAAGTCTGCTGATGAAATTAGAGATATATGGATTGAATATCATAAAAACAAAGATTGCATTGCTGCTTCAGTTCCTGTGGCTAAGTTTGAGTTAATTCAAAGTCGAGGAGAAAAATTCCCCATATTCGTTTTGCCTCTACCTAGAGACCAAGGCTATGAATTCATCATGTGCCAGTTTGCTGGGAATGAAGTTCATTTCACACCCCTAATAAGCTATCAAACGCACAAAGAAAATGCTCCAGAATGCTTAACAATGATCTATTATCCAGATTTAAAAGATCACAAAGATATAGTTCTTATGAAAGGAGAGTTCAATAAGGATATTTTAACTGTCGTAGAAGCTCAGTGCCTAGCTAACGAATTGCAGTTGTACTATGGCGAAGAAAATGAGAAGAGGACAGGACTTTTAGAAAGATTTACTCACAGTCCAGAAGATTTCAAACATATGGACCTGATTGCTAACTTGGAAACCTTATCATTTTAAGGTTAGTAAACTGCCCAGATCCTTGGACTTGATGGAGTTTTGGCCTATCAATCAAAACTTATGGAATAACCTTGTCATTTTTTATGAGAAAAGTTATAAATCTATGATTTAAGTTAAATGGTCAGTTTTTATTTTCACACTCCTTCCATCCTTCTATCTTTAAGTAGGATTTTCACATAAAATAGGCCTACCTAGGCTACGACAACACTGTTTCATACAATCTGTGTCATCAAATTATATCAGCCATCAAATATTTTTTCATCACTTCGTAGGCCTACTGAAAGTAGGCCTGATATGGTAACAGTTAATATCAAAGAAAGTTAGGATAACTTAGTTGTTTAGAGCTAACTCTATTTTAGAGCGAAGGAAAAACGCCGCTTTAAATTTTCTTACCCTAGCTCTCGATTTGCTCTCTCTATTTTCCCACTACACACGCTAGGCTATCTAAGTTAGTGTTTTGTTGAGGTTTATTTTAATGATTTTTAAATCAGCTATTTTCATTGTTGCTCAATCGGTACTTTGGTATGATACGGAGGCCACTTATTTTACAGCACGCTGCAGGGGTTATTTTTGGCTGGGTTATCATAAATTTGTTTGTAGGGCTTTCCTCGTTTTGTTGTGAATTGAACGATTAAACCAGATAAGTTTTATAACTTTCTATTTATAATAACCCAACCTAACATAACCGCAGCTGCGTGCTGTCCCATAAGAGAGGCCTCCGTATAATACCAAAGTACTGCTCAATCTAAATGTAATTTACGGAAACAGGCATTAGTTTGTTTTTGTGTGTTTTTAGCAAAGTGCATGTTTGAAATTGCCAACATATGTATAGTATTCCGGATGATTCATGATAAAAAAAAAGCTTCAGTGATAGGCCTTACTGAATAACCTTACGCCAGTGAAATCAGGGGAAAGATATGAAGAGAAATACAGAAAGTTTGCAAACTGGTACAAAGTACAAAACCGAATAAAGTAGGCCTAAGTGAATAGATAGGCCTATTTATTACAGTAGGCATAATGTATTTAAGTTATCTAAGAAATCTATGATCATGAAACTATATTTGTGAAATAGGTTTTTAAATGATCAAGGGTGGTCTAAAACTAAAATAAGATGTGGATTATTGAAAAAAATTCTAAACCAAACGAAGAAGTGATTGTCACCAACAATGAAAACTGCACAATAATCATAGCCTATCCTTGAAACTTCTGATTTTTAAGTTGTTATGAAGGTTTGCTATGAAACATATTCTGTTTGTGTGATTTTCCAGCACTTGCTCCATTATTCTTGGCCTCAGCTTTGCCTCATACGTGAAAAAAAAACTCTTACATGCATCGGCTTCGCCTCGATTGTGAGATTATATTTCCTGTGTTCGGCTTTGCCTTGCACATGAAACTTGAAATGCCACTTTTGGTCCTAATAATGAAACATACTCCTAAATGAAATATATAGTATATTTCTGGAAACAAATGGATAATTAGTACCATTGAGTGCACATATAAGAGCTGGGACAGATAATGCTAATAGTTGTAACCGATTTTGGCGACGTAGTTCTGGCCGTTAACACTTGGGTTGTTAGTTAGTCGGTAGTGCATTGCACCTCTGTCATTTAAATAATTTAGTACAGTATTAAAAATGCACTACCTCAACTACCTGAAAGGGAAATTGGCCTAGTCCACTTAGGAACAAGAGGCATTACATCATACACAAAAATTAAATTAATAGTGACAGTGAAACTTTCAAATTTTCAATAAGCAATAACCACCACTAGAGATTGTGGAAATAACTCTTAGAACTTCTTTTCTATTCAGACCTAATTAGGTATTGTATTCTACCACTTGTAGTCGAATGGTGAGTAGTATAGGTCGCAGATATATAAAATCATAACAGATTTTAAAATATGTTTTTATAATACAGTATGATTATAATCATAGTGAAAAATCAAAGTGAAATCAATCATAGTGATAATCTTCAAAAATACATTTAATACACTATTGAAGCGGTTCTGTCTAGATTTTTAACTAGCTTACCTTGTTTCTTCTTTACAAAAATCTGTACCAGGATTTTTAATTTAATGCGTCTCATAATTGAAATAAAACTGGTCGATTACACATTCAGTTCCTTTTTGCATCCTGTTCTTGATGATCAAGAACTTTTATGTAGCAGACCGTTCACATACTCTAAAGTCCAATAAAAAATTTTGAAATTGTTGTCTAATGTTAAATTGTTCAATTCACTTCACTCAAAAATATAGTTATATTAAATTGCACACTGCTCACTATTTGTTAAAAAGTTATAAAGTTTGTTATACAGTTACAAATTCAAAGTAGTTTATGCTGTTATAATGTTTAAAAAAATAGCTGATTTGAGAGAATGTTGTGTTTTTAAGATATTTTTTAGATGCACACACCTAAACAAATAAGACAGGAAAATCATTCTTATGGGTTTATGAGGAAAATTGGCAGAGTAGTCTGATAAATTGTGGTAGTATACATTTTTCTACACCTATCTGTTCGTGTTATCAACCTTCTTCATATTAGCAAATAAAAGGGAACACGTATCTTCATGTGTTGATAACATCAGAAGCTCCCGTGTATCATTCATGTCACTTCTATAGCTCCGTATTGATCGCAATGAAAGTGTATATTTGGTGTAATCACCGCAATAAGAGTAAGTGCAATTACATTTATATATTTTTAGAGTAAATTATTTCTCTATAGTGTTCGTCACATTCATTGACAGTGGTATAAGTCTGTAAAATTTTAAAGTTTTACGCTAATGTACACTCAAGACACATGCTAATGCTACATCAGCTAATTCCAATAAAATCAAGTAAAATCGGCTCCATAAAAACACTTTTGAGTACCTATGTGTTTTTTTCTTATTACCCGAATAAACAATTTTCGTCAATCTTTACTCCTATTAGACTCATGATGTTGTAGATTCAATATTCTAATTACAAGTATATCAGAAGTAAGCCTATATGTAGTACATTTGACAGTAGTATATACAATACAGTACCGGTAATCGAGTTAACTCAAACCTTGCAAGAACTGTTTTAGCCTCTCTTTAACCTATGTTTGTGTAGATAAAATTTAGGCTTTTTTAAATCTCATCCATAATGAAATAAAATTTTATGATTTCGACAGACAGTTACCGACATCATAAATTATTTCAACAAATTTACATCTTCAAATCAAATCAAAAGATCTTTATTTATTTGTAAATACATATTTACATGAATAGTGTCAAACAATGAACACAAATAGACATGAACAAGTAGGCTACAATCAACATGATCGACCGGTAGGACATTATTGAACACACTACTCCAAGTTGCTGTTTTCTAAATTTTGAGATCTATTATGTGTTCTAAAGTTAAAAAAGTCATCAAATGAATAAAGTGCTCTCTGTATCAAAAATTCTTTCAACTTCACTTTGAAACCTATATAATCCTGCATGCTTCTTATATGATTTAGGTATGTGATATAATATTACATCACGATTACACGATTATTGGTACATACAGCCAGAGACAAGTGGATACAGAGAATAGTACAGAAGGAAGAGGATTAATTTCACTCCAGGCTTGTTTTGTTCCGTCTATGTGACGGTATTTGAATTGAATTGAACTGCCGGAGGTGCGCCGGACTACAGAGTACTTCAGATTATAAAGTGTCAGTGTCAGATTACTTTGAGTAACAACTTTATTCCTTAAATTCAAAAAGGATTATAAATACATGAATCACAATCAATAAGATAAACTTTTGTACAGTGGACTCCCAAAGAAATTTCAAAGAATTTAATTTCTTTAGCATTGTTGCTAAAAATATTGTCACTCCCATATAACACTATCAAAGATTTCAATAATGTTATTTTCAAATGGATCATTTTTTAGACTGTAGTTTACCAAGATTTTTCAACTTTGCAATTCCAAATATGAAAACAACCAAAGAACAAATCTTGGAAAAAGCTCATTTACAATTTTCTTTGTTGGTTAGTACCTAATTTTTCCGAATGCCAACTTTGACGTCAGCAAGATATCTGCCAAACATGCCTGGATCATCAACAGGTCCAGGTGATTAACGGCTAATGTTTGCAACGGAAGGTCCTGTAAGGTTAATGGCTAAACTGAACGATTCACAAATCTGATCATTAGCAAGTAGATCTCAATCATCGTTCATCTTAGTACCGGTACTGAAGTCTGTCAAAAATCAAGGTTTCTTCTCATTCATTTTTATTGATTCATAAAAAGTACTATAATGCATTCCTTTGTCTATATGCTGAGGCTTTCCACTTTAATTTTTCACTTTTTGCTAAGTTAATATATTGACTTCTATTTTCAGAAAATATACTATTAAAGATGTTAATTCCTTTGTATTGTCTCTGAGAATAAGAGAATACCTAGTTGATTCTCAAGTTTTCATATAGAATTTCTTTAAAGTTCTAAAACGATTTCAGTTTCAGAACAACTGTCCTTGGATTTTAAAACCATGGGTTATATGTACATACAAAGCAAACTTTTGAAATGGTGTTGGTTTTTAACTACAATAAAAAAAAGTTTCATTTTGAGGAAATTTGTCTCATTCAAGAAAATTTCTGTGTACTATTTTACATTTTCGACGCATTTGAAAGTCAAACATTTTTATACTCCTCTAGTGACTTAAACTTTTGACTATTAATACAACATTATCCAATCATAATCGGCCTACTTCTAAAATTTGTAAAATTTCTCCGATTTTTTACGGTTTTTTTATTGAACAAGTATACCAGCTAGTCACACATAAAAAAATACTTGTTCAAAAAAAAATCCAAGAAATTTTAATAGGAGTAGGGCGATTTTTAAAGGTGAAGGAGTACGATTTTCGGAAAACGCTTACAAAACACTTTTGTACGTTGTGTACAAAACGTAATTCCTGACCTTGAAAATTCTTTCAAATCTTTGCTATCTCTTACCGTTTTTAAAAGCGGACAAAAAATTCAAATTTTAAACTGCCATAACTTTTGATAGGATTGACGTAAAATTCTCTAGTTTGCGCCATTCTTTTTCTTTTTTCATGCCCTCACATTTGATATGTTTAAAGGGGTACCTTGCAATTTAAACATTTTAAGTTAAGGGTAGGGGGAGAAAGGGGGTGAATGGGAACATCACATTAAATTCACAACAATTGTGGCCCCTAAGTATTTAGACGATTCCCGCAAACTGCATATTTCTAACTATTGCAGTTTTAGTGAATTTCTCATATAGGGAATAAAGCTATTACCATATTACTCATGGTAAGACCTGGACCCAGGACTGATTTACTTTTTCGTTTTGAGGTCCCTAGAGACCAAAAACACCATCCGATCAAATTCATATATACAGGGGGACAAAAAAGTCTGGAAACGGCTCAATATCTTTTTCCTACAGTCACCCGACAAAGTTGGCTTCCTTGTACTGTTTATAGTACAGAAAGCTGCTAATTGCTGCATATTTATACTTTGCCGTACGGTTTATACTTTGCCGTACGGTTTATACTTTGCCGCACATCAGGATTCCAACGAAACAACACAAAACAGCGTGGTTCCATTATGCACGTAATCCGTGTACGCTTGGAAATAGGTTGGCAACACTTGAAGATAATTATACTATGAGCAGCTGATTGACTATTATAACTACGATTTAACCTGTCATTTCGTGTTTATAGTTTCGGTATTTCTGAACTTTCTGGACTTTTCTTTTAAACGTTTTTAAAACCTTCCTACGATCTTAATAAACAAGAAAATACCTTTTAAGCATTTTTTTTTTAGGCGCGGAAACCACTTCAAATTACAAAAACATACGGAACTATATTATCAAAACGCGGAGCACATTTCTTGTCGAGGAAAAATAGCGGAGTGATATGGACCGCGGGTACTACTTTCTCTAGGGCACCATTTGTGTTTCCAGCTGAACCTAAAAACGTGTTGCATAGTGTTTGAAAGACTAATTATTTATAGGCTTTATAGTGACTGTAGGAAAAATATAATGTGTAACACGAGTGAAAAAGGCCTTTGCTGCACTCGAGATCATTCCACACTCGCCTGCGGCTTGTGCGTAAACATTGCTCTCGTGTGCAGCAAAGTGCCACTTTCACCACTAGTTACACAAATAACTATTTAACTAAATTCGTTAGAAAATTCAAACCTTTCACATCAGTTTATATGTATGAAAACTACTTTTTGCAAGCATTACCATTTTTTTACCTTCACCAGGGGACGGCCCACGAGGAGTAGATACACAATCTTTAATGTAAGCATAGGTTAATATGCACATCATTTCAAAGGTCTGGTCAAGTGGAGTTCATTACCGGAAACCGCGTCAAAAATGGTTCATCCGTTACCAAATGGCGGCAGTCGAAAGTTAATGCGGAATATACCTGCACATGCCTTAGTATTGGTAAATACTCATACCGTAGTCAACATTAGCCGGGAAATCTGAAAACCGGTTAAATTTGTTTTTAAGATTGAATAAACTTAGTCTATGAGCTAGTTGACTTTAAAATACAACTTCAGCTCTCAAGCTAATGTTTAATACGAGTATTTATTTACCAATACTAAGGCCTGTGCAGGTATTTTCCGCAAGAAATTTGGACTGCCGCCATTTCGTAACGGATGAACCTTTTGATACCCGGTTTCTGGCAATGAACTCCACTTGACCATACCTTTAAAATGATGTGCATATCAACCTAAGATTACATTAAAGATAATGTACCTCATGGGCCGTCCCCTGGTGAAGGTAAAAAAATGGTAATGCTTTCAAAAAGTAGTTTTCATACTGTACATATAAGCTAATGTGAAAGGTTTGAATTTTCTAACGGATTTAGTTAAAAAGATATTAAGCCGTTTCCAGACTTTTTTGTCACCCTGTATATATGTGTTCAATAGCGCAAAAATCATCCGATTTTGATGAAATTTGGTACAAACGTGTAAACCTGCATTTATTCAAACGAGTTTGCGAACCAGCATGGTAGGACTATGGGAACATGGGTTAATTGGGCAAAAATTGGTTTTTACCATTTTTGACCCTAAAAAATTAAAATTTAGCACTTTATTTCCAAACCATTTTGTAGAGCTTAAAAAAACTAGTATGTTGAAGCGTACTTATGCGCCTAATAGTTACGGAGAAAATTCAGAAAAACTTAACATTTAAAATTCCGGTAATTCTAAGCAATTACTTGGTCAACCCCAATTTTTTTCATACTTTACTACGGTCATCAGGATGTTCTTAGAAAACAAGAAACATATCATTTTAGCCCCGCAAGGTTAAGTTAGGTTAGGTTAGGTTAGGTTAAGTTAGGTTATGAATTAACCTAACCTTACCTAACCTAACCTAACCAAACAAACGGTACTGTCGCAACTGGCTTTAGAGGTGTATGTGAAACTAAAAAAAAAACATAATTCAGCCCCGGAAAGTTAATATAAAACATAAAAAAGGATTATCGGAGGAACCACTAGCCATAGCCATAACGGTACTGTCACAACTGGCCTTCCACGCGTCTCCCGCAAGCCACTGTTATTGCTTGGAATTTGAAAGTTCTTATCACTCTGCAACCTGTACGATGGCCTTGCGGGGCTTAAATTATATGTTTCTTGTTTTATAAGAACATCCTGATGACCGTAGTAAAGTATGAAAAAAATTGGGGTTGACCAAGTAATTGCTCAGAATTACCAAAATTCCCATGTTATTCGTAAGGAGAATAATTAGACTGTTGTAGTTTGCTTGTTTATGATCATATTTTGATCAAATTTGGAAAATGAATAAATTTCATACTAAACTATTAACATTTTACAATAAAAACACCTTTTCACCCTCCCTGTTGCAGCAAACCTAAGTAGGCATACTCGTTAAACTAATGTTATATAAATAGGGAATAAATGTGATATTTTTGGAGACATTTTAGTGTAAATCCAATCAGGCAAATGGAAATTCGCTTAGTCTGCAGGTTTGCTGCGGCGGGGGTATTTACATACATAAAGAAGCAAGTTAAAAAAAAACACCTTATATAAGTTAATCAATGAAGAATTACACTGATATTACCACTGAATAAATATTTTGTGTACAGCTATAAGGAACACATTGACTGAAGTACATTGTGTGTTTCAAATAACAGCAATATCATTGTTCCAATGAGGAGAAACTACATCGCACTTACTTGTTTATCTTATCACAAAGCATCCATATTTTCCACACATAATACCACACTGTTGTTTATTATCTTTACCTACCCTTAACATTCACAGTTATAAACCTGAGTCTTGAAATTGTAATAGGGTTTCGGTTTGTATTAATGACTTCAAAGAACTTTACAAAGTTTGTTGAGAGGGGTTTGAAAATATTGTGTGACCATTTCAGCTACCTAAAAACCGCAAGCCTGATAAAAAGACAACTTAACCCATCCAAGTGTAGTTTTACTGATTAAGTTTAAGGGAATGAGTTTAATTTTGAACAAGAGGTAAAGTGTTTTGTGTGGGATATTGCTTTTGTTAACGTTACAGAAACAGTTATTTACCACCATTTTGTTTCTATAAAAGCTCAGAAATTGAAATTTTCATATAATATTTTCAAAACCAACTTTATAATTATTTAAATAAAGTTTCAAAGCTTTCCATTCATATTTAGGCTTGTTTTGTTATATAATATCAAACATCTAAACTTCTTTGTGGGACACCCATATGTAGGTCTACCAATACTGTGTCGTTGATGAAAAATCTTGTTCATTTTTACATCTGCTACAAATTCAAGATCATTTTTCAATTTTTCTGGATCGTCTATGTTAGACTTGCATGTTTAATCTATGGTAATACTGTAATGGCTAATAAACAATTTTGTTTTCAGATTTAAGGACTTTTCAAGCTGCACAAGACACAAACCACTCTCAGGATGGCCAGTGTAGTTAGATATGTGGTGGACACATACACGGACATAATGGAGAACAAGAGTGGTAAGTCAAATTTTTAAAACTATAAACTCTTAGTTCTACCGATAAAGTAATAAACAAGTTTTTACCATATAGTTTTCCAGTATCTTTGGTAGAGCCTGGAAAGAACCATCATATTTTTTTAAGCTATCACAGTTTTCTCAAATGTGATTTCTTTTCTTATAATATCACATACCATTTTTGCTCATTCGATCGACACAAAATTTTGCTTTTGACATTGACTGAAGATAAAGATATGTGCATCCATCAGTTTGCATTACATACACAATGTGGGGATACTATCGGCGTTTAAAAAATAATCAGAACCATTACGCTGGATTGTATCCCCAAAACTGGATTTTCAGACCATGTGCGGGTTTAAAACGAAATGTGGGATGAAACAGAATTTTCGACTCTGAGGATTGATTTTCTTTTTTACAACGCTTTCCAGATAAAAACTAACCCCAATTGAGTAAATTATTCTAGTACACTATCCTAACAAGGTTTAAAAGAGCTATTTGTACATGATGCATCTTAAATGTCACTTGGGGTGAAACTAAAAATTCATGTAGGATAAAACCTGATTTTCTCAACTCGTAAGCGGGATTTTGGTGTTGGTCGTGTGGAGACACTGTCAATAAGGTCTTTACTGCACAGTCAACGTAGAATCAAATACAGACCGGTTACATCGTGTCTGCTTTTTTTGTCTGAACGCCGGTGAGACATCCCACAAACACTATCAGTTATTGGGAACATTAAACCTTTGATTGAAGATAGAACTAGATATTCTACTCCCCAGTTAAAGTTATCGCCAGTTTTATATTGAAAATTGACTTTTTGAATCAAGCTTCAGAGTATGCTGATGTCAATCAGTGATTTCTGTTGATTACCACAGCTTGTCCATCTGGATGGGATATTGTTAATTTTCCTAGCAAAGAGGTTGTAATGTTATTTCCTCACCGTTTGTTTCCATTTCAGATCCGCGGGTGAAGGATTGGCCGCTGATGAGTGGTCCGTTACCCACAGTGCTCATCTGCCTCTCATACGCTTTCATCGTCAAAGTACTGGGACCCAAACTGATGGACAAGAGGAAACCGTTCCAGTTACGGAAAACACTGATAGTCTACAACCTTCTACAGGTCATCCTCAGCGCCTGGCTGTTCTATGAGGTATGTTACAATAGTTTGTTACAATAGTGGTATGTTATTTTACAATAACAATAGGTTTACAATAGTAGAATGAGGGAAAGTTTGATACATCTCAATGAAATGGATTGATCAGATCAAACTACTACAATGATAGTCTTGGGGAAAGATGAACAATGAACAGATGTTCAGTAGAAATTTGCGAATCCAGCTTGGGGACTTGGTCTCTGGCAGTGATGGATTACTAAAAATGCTGGATTACTTACTAGTCTTACATTATAGTCGAGTGTGTGTGAGTGTTTGTTTGTGTGTGTGCGTGTCTAACTAGTTGCCTAAGTGAATGCTATGTGATATGATTGATTATTTACACACTGAAGAGTTTAATATTTATAAGCATTTAACAACAACACTTTGTTTTTATACTAAGTTGTAATATATATCGTCTTTTCTTTGTTTTTCCTATAACCGTCTTTGTATTTCCTATGACATAACATGATGTATTTTGTTTAGTCTATCATGGCTGGCTGGTTCACTACATACAGCTTCCGTTGCCAGCCTGTGGATTACTCCAACTCTCCAAAAGCACTAAGGGTGAGTAACAAACAAACATAGTAACCCTAGTTTATCAACCTTTAAAATATCAAAACTAATTCATTATTAAGTTTACTTTTGTGGGGGGGGGGGGGGGGTAAACATTAAGATCCTTTACTATACAGAAATTGTTTGGGAAACCATCTTAAACTTATAGTCCTGTTTCTGAATGTTTTAACATGGAACTCAATCATAATTAATAGTCGAGGAAATGACAAATCAAAAGGTCAATTTCTAATTAAGATGAAACATCAAAGAAACAAATGTGATGAAATATTCAGAATGTTGAAAGGAATTAAATATGTGTATTTACATTTTGAAGAACTTCTTTCTATTGAGGTTTCTATTGAGATGTTGTAAATTTGCAAGATTCTTGAAATTCAAGGAGTTTCTTATTTATAAAGGTTTTTGTCCCTATCCATATTTTATTTTGAACATCTGATTTTTTACAGACGGCAGCAGGGTGTTGGTGGTACTTCTTTTCAAAGTTTACTGAGTTTTTTGACACTGTAAGTATTTTAAAATCACATTTTGCAATACTTATGGTTGTTTTAGTTGTTAATAACACGGTTTAGATCATATTGTCCTTAGATTTTAACATAATTATGAAATCTAGACAAAGCAAGTAAAAAACCTTCTTCATTAGGTATGGTGCTTACTGCTCGTCCGTTGACTTTTGATACAGCTAGAGTAGACTTCTCATCCAATTGTGAAATCAAAAGCCTGGTTTTGGTGTGAATGCACTATGTCGTGTCAATGTGTTTCTTTTAAGGGTACATTTTACAGTGTATGCTCTATTGATACAAGAAGAAATCAGGGGTTAAAAACTATAGGGTTTTCTTACTCTCAGTAGAATTATAAATCTTGTGAATACAATGTCTATATGACACATTACTGCCATTATGGTGATACATTACTACCAGAAATATCAATGGCATTTAGTATCCTACTTAATTTATTTGGGCCTTTGAATGATCAAATGTCTGAAACCGAAACCGTTTTAAATTATCAAAAGTAATTGTACTTCAATCTATAATTCACCTATGTATTTTTCCAGTTCTTCTTCGTTCTGCGCAAGAAGAATGAACAAGTGTCTCGGCTGCATGTTATCCACCATGGGGTCATGCCTCTTAGCACCTGGTTTGGAGTCAAATTCTCACCCGGTAAGTATATCAATGTACATCATTATAAATAATTTTAGAGCTAACGATTTTATCTCACTAATTAACTCATAATAACATCCTAAGGGGGAAAAATACTTACACCGACCATGAATTTGTTTTAGAACAAAAATTTAGAAGAATCTGGAAACAATGTGATGAAGGAAACACTATAATTTATTAATAAAAAATGTTAAAAGAAACCAAATTATCAGGCAGGCGTATGAAAAACTTTTGTTGGACTTGATCATGGTAACAGGTAGCTGTAAAATGGTTTCAGGTGCAAATCACAAACAATCCACTCATTCTGTCAACGTACGTTTGCTGTTCGATCAACATTCACTTTAGGTGGAACCCTTCTTTCAAGCTCTCCCATAGCATCACAGTTTTCATACCAAACAGCACTAACAGTTGTAAACCAAATGCTCTAGGTTAGTGGTTCTTAGCTTGTCTACTAGGTTTGCTATGGAAATCAGTTATTAATATAAGTTTCACTACTGGTCCAATATGTTCTCATTTGAGGCTTAAAAGGTCCAACAATGAGTTCTGGTGTAAACACTATTTCTATTTGCAGGTGGTCACAGCACATTCTTTGGAATGTTGAACACGTTTGTCCACATCGTCATGTACTCCTACTACCTGCTGGCTGCCTTCGGACCTCAGATGCAGAAGTACCTGTGGTGGAAGAAGTATCTCACAGCACTGCAAATGGTAACAATCAAACTATTTACATATAGAAACCAAGTATCAACAAGTATCAAATCACGACAGTTATGTTAAGATTTTGTTATGTTTGTTATTGTTAGTAGCCTTTGGTTCGACACTGGTCCCAGCTGCCTTTGATCATTATATGGTCCTGGCTAAAAAAAAAACAAAAACAAACGGATTATCTAGTCAGTAACAAAGCTTTACATCTCACACATCTTTTGGGAGAATAATATTGGCTTCCTCACTGCATTCAATTTTTGGTTTGATTCTTATCTTCTCAAAATATGCAATTACCATGTGATTGAAGTGAAATTCTATAATGAATAGTTCCCAAGTTTTGCTCAGCGGTTTGTGCTGTGTGTTTCAGGTTCAGTTTGTTCTTGTGATGGTCCATGCGTTCCAGCTGTTGTTCATTGACTGCAACTACCCGAAGGCCTTTGCCTGGTGGATCGGACTGCACGCCATCATGTTCTACTTCCTCTTCGCTGACTTCTACAAACAGGCCTACGCTAAGAGAGACGCTAAGGTAATGTGATTTGGTTGTTTGATTTTTGAAGCATTATAAAAGTCAGTTTTCAAGGGTGAAATTTTTGGAATTTAGCACTTTAAATAAATTTTAGTAAATTATTATAGTTATAAGGAAAGGTTTTGGTTATGTTCTTGATGGTTGATTTGGAGCTTAAGGGGTTAAATGGAGTTCAATTAAATTATTTTTGAAAAAAGCTAATGTATTCAACAAAATTTATTAGAAAAATAGTTAAAACATTTTAAGAATAGACTGATATCCTTATCATACCAACTGTATAATGTAATTTTGCTCATCATCCTTTGTAATTGCAAAAAAACTCAAAAGCTACGAATTTAAGTTTACCTAACATGATTAATCTGTCTACAGGCTAGGGCGGCTTTAGCTAAGAAGAACGAAGATGCCATGCTGAATGGTAAAAGTAACTCAAACGGTTACACCAATGGGTCAGTCAAAGGACATACAAATGGATACGCAAACGGAATCTCTAATGGTTTCTCCAACGGAACAGCAAACGGCAAAACTCTGTCAAATGGAGTCAACGGAGTTTACAGTGAACCGGAGAAAGGGATGGAGTCGAGTTACACGACTCAAGACTCTTTGAGAACAAGAGCTTTCATCAACAAAGACCAGTCGAAAACCTCGTAGTGACATAAGTGTACAAACATTCTAGCCTCTCTTAGCCTATAATTATTTATTTGAGACATACAATTTTGTTGACTCGTATGATCTTAAGAGGAGTCTGAAGGAGTCAAGATGTATAGCTTGTGTTGAAGAATTAGTGGTTGAAAGGTAGAAGTCTTTCATGAGATTACAGTAGAACTCCAATTATCTGAACTCAAAACTATACAAATCTCTTACAGAAAGGATTTCTTAGAGCCACAGTAATAAGAATAGCTATTAAAGATGATCAAACATAATCATTGGCTCCCTCGGTCACAGAAAAATCTTCATCTTTTTTACATGATGGGGGCAAAATCTTGTATATCTCCTGTGGTCTTGTAGACGTAATGTTATTCACTTCTAGTCACGGAAAATCATAATCCTCCTCCGTGATTGCTGGAAAGTTGAATGTTTTGATCGACAAACTTTTGCAGACGAGTTTTACGATCATGATAGTTAAATCCAATTTTCTACCTATTTTTACTTTGCCAATTTTCTGTAATACACCCAGAGTTTCGGTAAAAAACCAATCATCCGAATTTTTGACTATCCGAATGTGGTACAGTACCAATTGATTTGGATCGTTTGAGCTCTACTGTATATGGAAGACAAGATCATACTTAGTACAAAGTGCCATTTGTTTATTAGAATTAAAAATGATTTTGTAGTTCACATACTGAATTTTGCAGTGTTCTATTGTGTTATGACCACTTTAAAGGGTTTTACACCCCCAGGGGGATTATGATGGTTATGTTTTAACCTAATACACAAGTTATATTTGCTCAAAAAAAAACATGAATAACCTGTTGAATTTTATTTATATTTTTTGTGCATGGAAAATGCATCTTTTCCCTGTTAGCAAGAAAATCAAAACATTTAATCATTGGTATTTGCTAGACAATTTTTGTAAGAAGGGATGGTCTAAAAATGAAAGAAATGTGATTGTTTAAATGGCTTCACATATGTATATAGTTTGTATGATACTTTATTTAGTATTTTATTTGGAGAAAAATACAAATCTTATTTTTCTGTTACGATATATTTACCTCTTGAAAGCATTGCAAGAATAATTAATTAACTTTTGTACATTCTATACATATTTACTTTAGATTGTAGGGTTTTGTAAATTATTTACTTAAGTTTGCAGTACTGGTTGTAAGTAAGACTAAAAAAATAAGATTTTCTTACGACCTAAATAGTTTATCTAAGTCATAATTAATTTTTAATGTTATATCTGTTGCGTAGTAAATCGTATTTAGTGTGATGAAACTGTGCCTTTGTCAAGGCATACAAACTGATTCTGAAAATTATTTATCAGATTAATTATCTATTAGATTAATGATATTTTTTATTGTTACAAATTTTAATAATGTACTTTCCAAAGTTCCACGTTTTCTTATACTACTTAGGTATATTGAGTTAATACAGATAAGAAAGGGGTTTTTGTTATAAAATTAATGTCAATGCCTTGTGTATTATGTACACTTAGGATCATTCAAATGTTATACATTTCCTGTATGATGTTATTCGTTTTTTAAATAAACAACTGCAAACAATATCGTTTTTTAAAGATGAAGTTTTTCTAACAAATTCCCAGTTTGATTTTTACTTATATAGTGGTACTGTTAAGTTAAAACTGGCACAATTTTTAAGCGACTGAATGTAAAAATCATATACCCGCAAAGTTTTTTAGCTCTGCAAAACGGTTTAGAAAGAAATTGCAAAATTTAATGCTTTCAGGGTCAAAAGTCGGAAACCCCATTTTTACAATATAACACCCCCAAAACAAAAAAGTAAATCGGACCAGGGTCTACCATGAGACCTACGGTAATAGCTTATTCCCTGTTTGGGGATTCACTAAAAGGTTACTTGATTGAAAGCCGAAGCTTGATTCCTACCAACTTTTATTTTATTGGGACGTAGCTCACAAAAAAAAAAATAGTAGTAGTAACTAAATATTTTAAATGTGAGCAGATAAGATTATCTTGCCCCCTTATGGGACAGGGGGCTATTTCCCTTACATGGGCAGGTCAAGGTATTTTTCATCACTCTGTTCAGAAAGCAGCTACATTATTTTTGATAACAGCCTATTACACTGACTTCAAGGAAAGTAATTGTTTTCCCAAGCTCTAATTTAGAGTACGGGAAAAACCATCAGCTGATTTTTCCCTTGCTCAATTCTCCATTTGATCATTACATGAGCTAGTATTTGCTTACTATTTATTTTTATAGTTGAAATCAGCTGTTTTTACTGTTTAAAAATCTACGGGTGCGGTTGTTTAAGTAAGGGCTATTTTTGTATATTGCTCTATAGTTCATATGTAAGCCACTACGCTCCTCGCCGCTTACTGGCATAATTTTTGAACAGAATGACACCATTTGCAGCTCCATGCACCACTTTAGCTTACGTGTGTGCTTTGCTGTGTTTTTTTATTGAACCTCCCGCCTTGTGAGAGGTAAGTTCAGTGATACGTTTTTGACCACAAGAAACATGTCCAATGCTGACATTTATCGCGAGATGACTGAAGTGCTTAGGTTTATGACCCTGATGATACGGGGAAAAGTGCAGAAATGGGCTCGGGAGTTTAAAAATGGCCCTGTAAAGGTTCATTTTGAAAGGAATTATGTTTCTGGGGAGTACTTAGACATCTCATAGAAGACCACAAAGCAAATGGTTTTTACGGCCATTTTTACACTCTACTGTTTCCACGCTTTACCCTCACTCATTGCATTTGGGATATAACCATCAGTCATCTGGTGATGAATGTAGGTATCAGCGTATCAGATATTATGTTTCTTGTAATCAAATATCACTGAACTTATCTCTCAAGTGGCAGGAGGTTCAATAATTTGGGCCCTTAATTAAAAAAACTAACCTCGTAAATGTAAACATGTCATTCTGGACATGTGTATTTTAGGTTGTAATGAATAGTATCGTCCAAACTTGTACCAAATGTTGGTTGACCAGTACTTGATCCAATTATTCCCGTCCTCGGCTTCGTCTTATATGTGAAACCCACTCACACATTTCAAACTTCTCTACTTTGCCGTTTACGTGAGATTTGATTTGGTGTTCCTGTGTTTGACTTAGCCTTACTCATAAAACTTGAACACACACAGGAAAATACCACTTTCAGTACTTTTACTGTAATATACCTTCATCCTGCCTTTGTTTATCCTTGTTACTTTCCTTTCTTCCTCAAAAATTGTTTTAAGTTTTTAAAAAACTAAGTCACTTATCTTTCAGAGACAATGTAAATGGTGTAATACGTGTTAAATATAATCTTTGCTGACTGTAGAAAACACCAGTTGTTGATACACTAGTCTTGAAATTGTCTTGATATTTTAAAATACACTGATTTAAAAATGCCATAGGTTTTAAAGAACTTCATAGTGGCAATATTTTGTGAATTTAGCTGATTAGATGGACGAATTTGTTCGTACAAAGTATTTATTGGCCAAACTGTGAATAAAAGTTAATTGCTGATTACAATTCACTGTCACTTATAAAAGCATGACATTTGTTTGGATACAAAATTGTACTAAGGCCAAAGGCCTAAACTACTTCCATTATCCTAGGGACTTTTTCAGTTCCTAGTTTTTGGTTTAAAACCAAGGAATAATTTAGAATATAGGACACCAAAATTAATTTCCCCATCTCAGAATCAGTCCCCCCTCAATATTTCTTTCTCAAGAACCCAATAGGTGTGTGCAATGGACTAAATTATTATAAGAGTTACGAAACATCCTGTGTACAGGCGAAATTCTTGTCATCTAGCAGGATTGTTAGCCTTACGTCCTAATCGAAATCTTTGAATCTTAACATAATCCTTACCATTTAAGCATTTTGGTTAATATACAGAATACAGATTATTGTGTCAACCGCTTCAAAATATGCCAGACACAAATGCTGAGAGTGCTAATATTTGAGAAATGTGGAGGATTGCAATTTTAACCCCGCTAAATATAGAAATACTTCCCTAACTGTTCTTTAACCACTTCTGCAGTGCTTAGTGTTCAACCTTACCTGCTTATCCGGTAATTTATTAATTTATTACCCGGTAAAAAATTGTCCCCTGAGGAAATATCCAACGATCCCCAAACCAAAACCAAAAGGGGGGCCCTGGACGTGCTAAGACGAGTATTGAATTATAACATTAAGCATTGCACCTAATTTTAAATGCCTTTCCACCCACAAGGCTTAACTAACATTTGTTTACATCCCAAGTAAAAAAGTCATACCTAAATACTCTGTGAATTGTAGGTTCATAGGTAATTTCAATACAAATTTATACTATACAAACATCATTTTAATAAATAGTGTTTAGTAAAAAACAAATCGTTGAAGAACATTAGACAATTTGTACACTTGGTTGTAAAGTAACACTTTCGCTTGAAACTATTTCGTAAGGCAATAACTTAACAAATTAAACTGTCCTCCAATATAAATGTTTTGGATGAAATAGCTGAATGAATTTTTGTATTACTTGAATTTATTGACGGTTTGTGCTTCAGTTTAGTTTCCCAAATGATTTCTAAAACAAAAGTAATAATTCAACATTTTATAAAGCTAAAAGTAAGGTAGTTAAATTTTTTGTTAGAAAAGTTTAAACTTTACAGACAAACTTTAAACGATAAAAAACCTCGAATAACTATGTTGTAACACTATGGATAAAACCCATAGTGGTAAAACATGTTTACACCAAATCAACCAAAAAGCACAAAATGCCATTCACATACGAAAAATGATAGTGGAGTATCACTGATTTGATCTTGGACCTCACGAGTCAACGGGTAACTTAGCTGATTCCACTTATAAGCGTAAAGCGTCAGTACATTCATATCTTACTCTAACCCACATAGAAAGCTCGACCACTCCAACTCGGCTAACACTTATGACATACGACATACGGTACGCTATACACACAGTATTTACATAGACATCATACTGGATAACCTTCCAGGCTCCCTAACAAGTATGTTAAAACTCTTTAGAATACATTACGTAACGTTATTCATTTAATGAAAATAAGATAATTAGACTAAAACTTCAAATAGTTTCAGTTATGTAGGTCATAGTTGAGTGGATAACTAATGGTTTTAGATAATGGGTTTCTGTGAATATCGTGAAATTTAAACCTAGCCAATACATTTTTATATTTCTCTAACACATTTTTATTGACTAAGTATTTTTTAAATAGTTAAAGCTATATGTAGCTGAAGAAATAATAATGTGGAAAACACTTAAAGTAAACTTAATGGGTAACATAATCAGTGGATATCACCAATAAAAACAGTGACTATTTCTGATTTTGTTTGCAAGGACTTTTAGTTTAATTCAAATTCTATATATCCGAAATAATATGGTTGCTACCGAATGTAAATAGATTACACAAGTATTTGCGATAGTTTGAATCGGTTCTTCAAGAACATGTCAATATTAAAATCCATGAATCCTATATCTATAGGTTTTTTACTAATGACTAAGTTTTTTATAAATGTACATTTATAATAACCTAAAAATATACAATACAGATTGAATGGTATCATTCAGTGTGAGGAGCCATTATTTAACATGTTTTTGAATGTAGTTGGACTTTATAAAGAATATCTTTTTGTTATTAAATCTGCAATGAAACAAAATATTTTTTGTAACATTTTATTTCAAACAGAATGCCTAAACATAAATCATGGACAATTCTGACTAATGAAATTTGTCAGAAGCGTTCAGCACTTAGAAATTCTCAGTGTCTGGTAATGTAAGTTAAGTTTGATAAAATTTAAAATTACAGTGATATTAAGAGATATTAAGCTTAACTGTAACTTAAATTTATCAAATCGAAAATAATTATTATTGAAGTTTGGTGACTTTACCACAAATACATTTGAAACAAGATATTGTGTCATGATTATTTTAGTCAAGAATTCAAATAAAGTGGCAATCATAAAAACTTCTATTATTTCAAATAAATCAAACTTTTTTGACTCCTCAATTCACATTCCCAGACAAATTAAGTAAGTGATGACTCGATAAACACTTAAAAGAATGAAAATATACATATAAACAACAAGCAAGACCGTAAAAACATTTGTGAACCAAATGTTATTGGCGGTCTTAAACTAACACATTTTGTAAAAATACAAAAATGGCATGAACATCTTTGATGTATAACAACAGTAGGAGCGGGAGCTCCGGTGCTACTTGACTTTTCTACTCTCTTCGTCCTGATTGGCCGGCGCGTGACTCGACATGTAGCCGTTGTTGATCCCGTTGGAGTAGCAGCTAGAGTAGAGAGCCGAGTAGTCGTTGGTGTATGCTGTTTTGCCATTGGCTACCTTCTCCTCTTTGTCTTTCAGTACAGGCTGCACAAACAAAACAATTAGTGATCATGACGAGTTGATTTTTATGAATTAATTACTAAAAAAAAAAGAACGAGTTTGCAGTACCTTTATACAGTATACAAAGGTCAGCACAACTTAGTAGATTGGCTATAAGTATCGAGGGACCAAAAAATGCTTGGTGGGGTTTTATTTCTTTTACCAATTTTCTTTTTTTACCTGAAAAGCTCCTGTCTAAAACTTTTAGTAAAATTATTCTCCTTTTGGGATAAATCTAACAAAGAAACCCACAAATAAACAGACATTGTCTGTAATAAATAAAGCATAGGATTGTATGCCCTAAATAAAACAATCTGTTAGCAATAAAGCTGTTTATACTCTTAATGAAATGTTGGTTATGTCACCTATCTCCATCTCCTTCCATCAGATTTTTTTTCAAGACACTTATTTTTATTGCAGTACGGTAACATTGCTTTTGCTTAAATTATACATGATTCATTACTGGTCCCAATATAATAATAGATAAATAAGGAAACCAAAATAAAATTAGGAACAATGAATCCATAGTAGTGATGTCAAGGGTTTAGGTTTGAGTGCTGCTACTAATATTTCTCAATAAAAGTACAGTTATTATAATACTAATTTGGTAAACTTGCTTTGGTTTACAAAAATGCCCGAAATCCATTTCGAGCGGCAAAATGCAAAGTCTAAAAAGACTAACCACCTCTTTAAAAATGAAACTAAATTTAACTCACCATACAAGCTCCATCGTTCTTGGGTGGCCTCTTGCCGTTTGAGTAGCGAGTCTTGTAAAAGTCAGAGAAGAGGAAGAGGAACATGACACCATGGAGTCCGATCCACACCATGAAACTCTTGGGGTAGTTGCAGTCAGTGAACAACAGTTGGAACTGATGTGCGAAGATCATCACAAACTGTACCTGAGGTCAGAACAACAATGTTGAATGTGGGGAATTTACAACACTAAATGCCAAGTTATGGGTGTATTTCAGCCTGAATATGAAAAAACCTGATCGAAATGCCTTGTGTGGCATTGTTACTGATAATCTATTTCAAAACATAGCTTAGCATTGTACGATTTTGGACAGCTCAATGTGACCAAACACCTGTGGTAGCCTATACATAATCTAAATCATTTGGAATGGCTAGTATAGTAAGTGACTAGTACAAAATTTTGATTTAAATCAAAATATTTAAAGAAATATGATTTGGTCCTTTTCCGTTAATTCACTAACACTTTTTTTATTGCAATTCCGATAATTCACTACAAGAATTTTTTCATAATCAGCAAGTTTGGTTGGTTAGGTTAGTTTAGAATACATAGTTTCATTTATAATTGATATATTCATAGACTAGGCTAACTGTTAACAATACCGAAATCGCAATAAACAAAGTAGTGGTAGTGAATTAACAGAAAAAACCCATGACTTTTGTTACTAAAAAATTATAAAAAATATTTTACTTACCATTTTTAGTCTTAAAAAATCCCTACCGATACCTTGTTTTGTATGGATCAAAATTTGTATAAGCTTGTAGAGAAAAATTATTACAAATTCACTGGCAAATTATTAAAATTTTAAGGCATATTACACAAAATATTTATGGAAAGGAAGGTCTTTTCCACAAATCCCAAGAGATGCTGGTTTACTCCCCCTCCCCTTGAAAAGGTTTCCAATGAATTCCCTAGCCTGGGACATTTTAGTGTCTTACCATCTGCATGGATGTGAGGTACTTCTTCCACCAGATGTATTTCTGGTACTGTGGTCCCATGGCGGCCACCATGTAGTAGAAGTACATGATTATGTGGACAAAGGTGTTGAGTAGGGCGAAGAAGGTGCTGTGACCACCTGCACAGAGGATGCAAATCGGAGATGAATCAAAAGTAGAATACATTTAAATCTTTTAACATACACAATAGCTTTGAAACTTCAATAATTACTGCTATGGAGGTTAAAGTAACGGAGTATTGCATGTTTCAGTGGAAAACCCGAGTCCAGCAAGAACACACAATCTATGGTTAGCTTTATACGAAGAACAAATGAGTATAGAATAGTGTGTGGATAGCATTGTGTAGCTTTGTTACTGATTAAGATGCTTTCTTAGTAAGGACCACCAGATAAAAGAGAGCTGGGTCTATTTTTGAAACATCAAAAAACCGATAGATTTTTTCAAGATCAAACTCAACTTTTTGATTACCAGAAATCACTCTGCTACCCATAACTCTTATTCTTACTTTTGGAATCGCCGATGAGATATTTATGGTAATATAATAACACATTTAATCAATTACATAAGTTGGATCTAGTTCAAGATTTTCTTCACTAACAGTATAAGTTTTAAACCAACATAATCTACATGATCCGAGTAGAAAATAGTAGAACTGTTTACATAATCTGTATCAGGTGACAAACCTTTTTGTCATGGAATGGCAGTCAGTGTCAAGGATACATTGTAAAATTGACATTACAAACAAGATAAATGAATTGTGATGACAAGAATGACAAGGTAAAGTGAAAGAATCTGATCAGTGGATAATCATCTATCATTTGCACAAAATCATTACCTACCTTAAGTATCAAAACATCTTGTCAAACTGCACTCAACTAACATGTGTTTCTTTTTATATTGTAGTAATTTAAAATGTGTTTGTTTTTTTAACTGCACTCAATAAACAACACTGATATTAAACTATTAAGATGATTTTTATCAATTTGTTTATGTAAAGTTTTAAGATAAATTTTAACAGCTCCAAAACTGTTAAAATCAAAATTGGAACACTAAAGAATTACTGTATTTATAGTACTGTATTTATTTATCCTTTTGTTCTAATGGTTATACATACAAAAACAAATTTAAAACTGAAAAAAAATGCCCAGTGAACATCAGATTTCCTTGTTAAATCTTTGCTGTTATTCATATTCATAGCCTGTTAGAATCATTTTAGCCTTTGTTATCAATTCCGATAGCATTTATAAATAGATAGAAATGTAGTAGTGCCTAAAAACCAATTTCTATAACCCAAAAAGAACTTTTTTAAATACCTCGATAACTAATACAGATCCATCTGTGTTCTGTTAAAAAAAGTAAAAAAACAAAAAAACATTACAGTATCTAAAAAGATTACAACAGTTCAAATCAAATCAAATCAAAAGTTTTAAGACTCAAACCAGATCCAACATATTGTTATTTTTCGCAAAATCACAGTAACACAACAGTTTTATTTTGGAGGATTTTCAGAGAAAACCAATATCAACCACAGAGAAGTAAGATACAGAGGAAACTTGCTTATTGACTGTCCGCTTTCAGCTCTATATTTTGTTCTGGAAATATAACTTGTGATGAGCAAGGAAGAGCCCGAGCGGCAAGCAGTGTGCCGAAGTTCCTTTCGCACAGGGCACAGGGTCTTCCTCCAACGTGAGCATTGTAGTACAGCAGGGTGGTGTTGGACTTTACCCTAGACACCAGCACTAGTGCTAGACACCATTGAATGTTTCCTCTGTACTTTACTTCTCTGTGAGTCAAGCACACTATCTATACTGTAGACGTTACCTGGAGCAAACTTCATGCCCATCCACACGCTCATAGGCATGCACCCGTGGTGGACCACATGCAGTGTGGACACATGCTCATTCTTCTTGCGCAAAATGAAGAACAACTGCAACAGCGACAAACAAGCTGACAGAAACTCTTCAACAAAGCTCACAACACAAACTGTGTTAGTCTATAAGATTAGTACTCTGCGTGGTTTGTATTTTGTAATTTTCTTTTCGTAGAAGTTTTGTAAGCTTTAGGTATTTTCTCACCTACAAGACAGGATCAGACTCCAGACTCCAAAATTTGTGGAAAATTGTTTTTTACTGTTTGTGAATCTGTAGTGAATTCCTCAAATGACACATATGTTCCTAAAAGTGTGTGGCCATACAGAATGTGATGAGTAAAATTTCAATGAAATTAATGTTTGATATTTCGTTTACAAAGAAATAATGTAAAATTTTGTAACAAAAAAATGTATAATATTTTGCTCTCATCAAAATAATGTGTGAGATTTTCTGAAAACAACATCAATAAGACATATAATATTATTTTTAAACTAGCCAATCTGTTTCAAGTTATAGATTGTATAGTATTATATTTCTAAATGATATTTGAATAACTAAATTACAAGGTAAATAAGAAACTAATGATCCAATTAAAACATTTTCTCATCAACGGGATTTGTTCAGACTAAAGGGAAAGAGGATTTGTATATTTTAAAAAGTTTGTGAGCTGGTGAAAAAGTTTCTGGCTAAACACTACAAACTACTGTAAAATATGTTGATGAAAATATTAATGTGCATGATATAATGGCATACATGTTACTTTTATTATTGCTGTAACTATGGAGTACCAGAACTACACTGTACTTCTAAAGTGTTTTTATAACTATAAGCTTTGTAATAATCTACAGACAAAAGATACCATGAACAGTAAATAGACCAAACATTAAAATGCTATGACATGACAAATAGTATACAGGGTGTTCAAAAAGGGTAGAGACATAATTCACGTAGTGATTCCTTGGGTCAAAATAAAGAGAAAATCGAGAATAAAAATCTTTTCAAAATCGCTTGGTAAACCAGATATCCGGCATTTTGTATTTTTTACATAAACATTTTTATCTTTGGATAGGAGTATCACAATTTTTAGTTGTAAAAAAAGGAAAACCTGACTAGCTTAGCTCCATTCAACTTCATTTTACGACCAAAAATCGTTATATTTCAGTTATTCTTTATTTGATCTTTTTAAACTTGGTGTCGTTTGATAGGGAAGTTAAAATGCTAAATCAAAGTGTACCTGAAAATTTTTCCTTAAAATCAGCTATTTTTTGGTGATTAAAGTTTAAATATTTAAAATGGCCGCCATTTTGTAATTTCAAATTTTACCAAGACAACTTTTTTCTCTCATATGGGTTGCTTTTATGTCAACATGCATACCATCGGTTGGAACAATCTAAAGAAAAAAAACATGTAAAAAATACAAAATGGCGGATATCTGGTTAAAAAAGTGATTTTGGAAGAATTTTTGTTTTTGATTTTCTCTTTATTCTGACTCAAGGAATCACTATGTGAATTATGTCAATACCCTTTTTTAAGACCCTGTATAAACCTCTGATTAATGTAAAAAATATATACGTACAAACCAGGTTTATCTACTACAAATAAATACTAACCTCAGCAAAAATTGTCTTTCTAAAATTAACTTTAACTCAATCTACAGTATACTCTCCAAAATAGCATTCAACAATTTTATTAGAGAACAAAGTGTGTTTAAAAGTAAATAAACCTCAAAAAACATATTTGACGTATGATCTTACACGTCATAATTGTTATAAAAAAGCATGTGTTAAATAAACCCAAAATATATTTCTTGAATATTGTAAACAAACATTATTTATTATTTATTATGTGCTGTGAAATCAAATTAAGGAACTCAGCTAATGCAATGAGAACAACTTACGGTGTCAAAGAATTCTGTGAATTTAGAGAAGTAGTACCACCAACATGTTCTGGCCATCTGAAAGAAAATAAAAAAATAACAAAATTGTATTAACTCCAGATAAATGGGATTGAAAATATAAAATAAATATGTTGGAATTGCTGCAATCTTTATATAGGTACAGAAACAAAAGCCTTTCATCATGAGACTGTAGACAACAGATCCGACGAGATACACATCAATACTTTAATTCATTTAATATTTTTATTTGATAAAACTTATCTTAATGGAGTTTTCTAATAAAAAAAGTCCCACCACAGCTAACCAGCAGTATTTCAATTTGTCTCATGAAAATAAAATATTTGTATAAACAACAAGACAAGTCATATTTATTCCCCTTTGAAAAACATAAGACTAACGAGGTTTGCTGCTAATTTAAAGGGAAAAGTGTTTTTTGATAGAATTGTAATAAAGAAGCAAACTACAACAGTTTCTTTTTCTTCATAAGAATAACATGGGAATTTTAAATCCACAGCTTTTTGAGATTCTCTCCGTAACCTTTAATCGTACAACAATGCTTTAATAGGCCTATAGCCTACCAAATTGTTTTTTCCATGTTCAGGCATTTCCACACAATCAGGTAAAAATAAAAAATAAAAATAATTTTTGTAAAACTTAAAAAAAAACTGTTTATGATTTGCTGGTTCGCTAACACATTCAAGTTTATGAAGCACTAATTCATGCCAAATTTCATCAAAATAGGACCAAAATTACTCGAGTTATTGTGTACAAGGACACATATAAATCTGAACGAATAGTGTTTTATACGTCTGGGGACATCAAAATAAAAGATTAAATCATTCCCAGGTCTAAGTCTTTCCTGTGGTGATAGCTTCTTTCCTTTAGGAAAATATGTTTTAAAAAAAGGTTCTCCTTGCCAGAGACATTTATCTATTTTTGTTTTCTAGATAGGTAAGTTTTGAACCATTGGGTCGTGCCAATATCACATAGCCAAAATCAATTGGTGATTTTTGACAACACTCGAACTTAGCCTCCAGAACAGAGGTATCGCATTTCACCACTAGACCAATCACGCCCCTCTTACATTCAACATTCAACGATCCCTATTGCATAACTGCGACTAGGAACTACTTCTCCAAACACTCTGTGCAGTTACCTATGCTATTAAAAGTCATGTGTACATAACAGACTGATAAATAAATTACTTTTGCCGAGTTGTCAGGAGGGGAATAGTGAGAGGAGAAAGTTGGTGGCCAGGAAGTGGACAACTTCTACAAACTGACAGATACTGCTGAAGAAACTTATACCATTGCTTACGACCATGGATACTTCAACATTTGTGTCATCGTAATACGTAAAGTTAGTTCTTTCCTGTGTCAATCAATTCCTTCAAGAATATTTAAATAATGTTTCTCGCATATATAAAAAAACCTTCTTTACAATAATATTTAAATAAAAATGTTAAAAATTCCAGAAGAGTTGAAAAAATTTATTTTCTGTGGCCCCAAAAAAAATTTTGAATATGTACAAAACGAATACATTTGTGCTACCTGTAACATTTCTAGAGTTGTATTAGTTAAATAGAAACCTGGTTTAACATTAATAGAACAATGAATTAACACTAACAAGCTAATCCGCCACTAAATATTGCCCCCATTTAAGTTTTTGTTAAATTTATTGGCAGTATTATAATGTCCGTATGACTGATGAATATTGAAAAATGGTGTAAATATACCTTCTTAAGCCCCATTCACACGGGGCGAGTTTACAAGCTACAAGCCGGATATTTTACACGCAGCTAGTAAAATAGCTCAGTGTGAACGACGTACTCGCCCAAAAGCTGCTTGTAAAAAAGCTCTGGAAAAAGTTGACGCTGCCGCTACTTTACACGCCAACTCACCAGCTTTTGAGCGAGTAGGCGTGTAAAGTAGCCCAGTGTGAACACAGTTGCTTGTGCTTGTGCGCATGTTATTCAAAGATGTCGGAGGATTTGGTTCAAGCTAGCTACTGAGCGAGTGGAAAAAGCATCGTGTGAACAAGCACACTCGCCAACTCGCCGGCTTCATACACGCCGGCGAGTAGCTTGTAAACTCGTCCTGTGTGAACGAGGCTTTATGGTAATCCTTTAATTTGTCTTGAGCAAGATTGTACCGATTCAGTCCCGGAACTAGAGACATGATGATCACAGTGAATGGACTGCCATTAAGCTATTCATAGCATTTTTAATTTCATAAAATTTATATCAATGATGCTTGGTAACTCAGTCTATTTGTATCATTCTTCATTTAAGTACAATACTAGATAATATTGTGTTTTTAAATTGTTTATGAATTATACTGTATCTAAACAGTGTACTTGGAATTATGTAATTTCCAAAACTGTGTTGTAGATTGTTACAGTGGGAAATGTCTTTAAACAGGAACAAAACAAAATTCTCTGGGGCAAGGTCGACAATTATGCCTAAGTGACTTATTGACCCTGAAAATATAGGTTAATAAGATTGCTCAGAACTGATTACGACAAAGACAACAATGGATACAACCGGGTCATTGACTTTCATTTCCATTCATCAACGGAAAAATTATTCAATGTTTTCAGTGCAAACTAGCTGCAATAGTGTACATGCAGTGGGCAATAACTGCAATGTGATCTTGCTCTATTTTATAGTTGGGACAACTATGTTACTTAGTATGAGTGCAAACTAAACATGAGATGCATGAAGCAAAATGTGTATTAAAATTTAACCTCCAACTCTTGTTTGATTTTAACAAGTGAAAATGAGATAAAATCTTAGCCAATATCCTATAATCTAAAACAAGCGCATGTACGGGCAAACTTTTTTTTCTGTCTGGGGATTTTTGATTTTTTTCTTTAATATGGGGTATTTGGCCACGAGAAAGCAATTGGGTTGGTCATAAGGCTGGGAAAAATCAAGTTTCCGCCCTACACCCCTTGATAGTGTCCATATTATCGTCGATACCTTTTTGTAGCTGAAGTTAACAAAAACAGCTGATACAGATTATTTTTACTGTCATCATCTATAATATTAAAACGAAACAGTGTTTTTTTATTTCACGATTCTGAATCAACCACTCGACGGATTTTCATGATTTTTGTGTTGAAAGTAAGATAATTTTGAGAACTAGGGAATGTCGAAGCCATAATTTTAGTTTAGGGCCCCAGATTTTTAGAAATTAAGTTTTAATTTTTAAAAAGTCTAGCAGCCGACGCTAAGATTCTAAACTAGCTTTTGGCATAAAATAATTTGCTTAACATAACAGCTGTAAACATTCAGCTTTTGTGTCACAAATTCAGCATTTGGATAAAAATGTAAAGACATACTTAGGGTTGACTTATTTATACTATGTGTAATGCTAATCATTGATACGTTCAATTCTTCTGTAAGAGGATGACAGATTAATTAAATATACATAGTAAAATACTAGGATGTTCAAATTATTTTTTAAAGCAATCTTTGTAATCTTCGATTTGTTTTAGAGCAATATAATTTGTTTTAACTAACAGCTGGTTAAATATAAACTATGGAACTATGAGGTTATTTTATTTTTGTCATTGATTATAGGAAATAAGTAAGATTAGTAGAGATAATTAATTAGACCACAGTTTAAACCACAGTTTTAACCAAAATTAATTAAACCACAGTACAAATCGAGGCTCTGTACACGAGTCTTAATAAAAAAGGATAGATGCAAATTATTTTACTGCTCCACTTTTCAAGGAAAGATTAGAAAAATAACAATGTTTACATCTTTTAATTCTTCATGGTAGCTTTTTGTTTACAATTAATGTTTGTCTGCTTTAACTTTGTTTGGATTAGGCCCGGAAATATTGATGTCATAAAAAGAAGATCAAGAATAATCAGGAATCACGATTTTAAAAATTACCACCCCAACCTCAGCCGGGTTTTATACAAAGATAAACAGATGGATGACATAGATTGAACACAACGTCAACATTGACCTAGGATACTGCAATTAGACAAACCATCCTTTTATGAAATCGTGTTCAGTTGTGGATTCAACTATGTATATATTGTAGTTTAAATGAACTAATATGGGAAAGTACGATGTACATTTATTCAATGAGGGTGGGTAATTATTAAGGATAGAACTGATAACGGTATGGATAATAAACATTGACAATTACGTCATTAGCTTTACTAGCGTGTTTACTTTTTATATTCCTGCTACATGTGACCAGTTCTTTTTTTCAAATGAATGTTATTTAAACCAAACAGCTGTTTCAAAACAAACTGTTATTGTTTTTACTTTTCTTTGTTTACGCTTATTTATTTAGCAATAATTAATGCAGTGAAATTGATATAAAGGATAGGTGTGACTAAAGTTTTGATGTTAGGACACCAAAGTTAAATTATGTGTACTGTGAATTTTATTGGATACTATCGTTTTATTTTAGGTCGTTTCTATTCAGACCTACTGGGAATTGTGTATAGTTGTTGTATTGTGGTGATAATAATTATGGAAGAGGCAGGTATGCTATGGAAGGTGGTATCGTTGACTAGGTCTATACACTTCTCAATTGACAATTACTCTCTCTACTGTAGGCTACTTATAATCAGTGTGCGTCTGTGCGAATCGGCTGCAAATCTCACTTCAACGCTTTTCACATCGTAAAAATTGCAGAATTGCTGTTTTATTGTAAAATTATCGGATTTAAAATGCATATAGTATAGGCCTATGATGGAATAAAAATATATTTCGTGACACAACATTTGTTTACAAGATGATTTTTCACATTAAAACTGCAAGAAACTTTTTCTTTATATGTGTAAACTAGCCGATCTGAATTGTACACGGTTTTAACTGACTACTGAATTCCCGTACGTAGGACGGGCTAACACCTCGTTTTTATTTATGTGTAAACAAAAATAACTGCATTGGTTAGTTTGGACTAAACGTTTTAAAGAATAGTTATATTCAGTTTTGGTTTGGACAAATTTTTGTAAACGATAAAATGTGTCTGATCAAACCGAAAAATGAATTAGGCCTATGATAAAATCTTATCCTTCCACAAACAAAATTCAAATTTGATAAAACAGTTACGTGAAAAGGTGCTTAACTATTGTTGTAACACTTTAACAATGTTACCAAACTTACTGTAATAATAAATACCCAAGACTTTCATGTACTAAACAGGTCTCACTTGTTCACCAGGTGAATAAACATTAATTAGAAACATTAGAAACTGATATGTAGACAATATTTATACTCTCAAATAATGTCCTAAATTTTTTAAAATGTATAAAAATAAAGTAATGGATAAAATAAACGGATACATTTAAAAACAAGGAAGTGGAATACTCAAAAAGGGAGCAACATTGTTGAAGAAGGAATTGAAGCCAAATATAAAATGTATTTCTGATAGATACTCATAAACTTTGCACTGCATAAACTATCAAATATATCAAGCGTCAAATATGGAATGTTTTTCAGGTTCATACTCATAAACTTTGCATACTGCAAGTATACCTTTCTCATATATGATATAGTAACATTTGAAGATTATTATAGTGATATGTGGGATTTATGTGTGGAAAAACTAAAATGCGCTGATGTCCAATAGTTGTTCTAATATATTTTTATAGAGTAAACTTCATGTGTGCTTTGGTTATCACAATTTTGACAGTAAATCGACCAGTTAACAAAGAGAGGACAACCAAACACTCTAGCGTTATATACTTTTACATATAAACCCTTTTCAGACATAAAAATACCTTAATATTGTTTTCAAGGCATCCAATAAGATAATAATCCACAAGGAAGTAAGTTTGAACTATTATACAATCTAAAACCTACTCCTAAACACAATTAAGAGATTTGCTTAGCTTTATTTATACAAAGTGAGTAGATTATTTTATCATCAAATAATAAAACAAAGGCCTACACTTGCTGAATGTTACCTTCTGAAGAACAAACAAAACAAACTATTCAGGACGCAGAGAGTGTTTGAGTTTGAAAATTCCTACTTTGAATCCAACTTGGGCATTCAAATGTTTTTACAACTCTCAAACTTTTTTACTCTACTCAAACAACTAAGGCAGTTATTTAAAAGAAGTGTAAATATGGTTATCATCAATCTACAACCTGTAAATAAAACAATACGTATAGAGCTAACAAAGAAGCAATCATTTGCTCTAAATCCTATATTAGAATTTGTGGTAAAAAACCTCAACAGTCATAAATATCTTGTAACAAAAGCAAAAGTCATGATCAAATACACTACTAATTAATATGCTTGGATTCAGGTGTAATTACGGTAAGTTTTCACAACTTGATTCTCACTGTCCACCAAAATGGGGTAAACACAATCACAATGCAATAAAATTAGCGGCTCTTAAATATGCTGCATGGTCGCAGATTGTATGGGTCAGAAGTATGGACAATGCCAAAACAGGCTGAAAAAATCTGATGGTGTTTGAAAACAAAATTTTAAGGAGCATCTATGGTCCCATAAATGAAGATGGAATATGGAGAATACGCACTAATAAAGAGCTTCGAGAGCTATACAGAGACCCGGACATAATAGCCCAAATCAAAAGCAGAAGACTCAGGTGGGCAGGCCATATCGCAAGAAGAGAACATAATGCACAATTAACGTGATAAATGAAGGACTACCAAGAGAAAAGCGGCCCTTGGGTCAACCCAACTTCGCTGGAAGGACCAAGTGGAAAAGGACTTGAGAAGATTGGGGGCAGAGTCTCAATGGATGCAAGACAGAGAGAGATGGCGAGGCATTGTTGGCGAGGCCAAAAACCTTCTGAGTTTTAAGTGGCCTAATAGGTAAGGTAAGGTATGGTCGCAGATGGTTGATCAAAGTTTTCCTATGTATATGAAATGCTTGTGTGAGGGCAACGGTTTGTAGGTACTTATGCAAACCTATCCCTGTCTCTGAGCACGGACGGTATGGTTATCTTGAGTGTGGGGGGTTCTTCCCGGAACCTCAATTGAGTCAAGGGTGTCGCCACCTCTGGTGGATAGGTTCATCCGGGTGGGTCCCACTTCTATACCTGCCTCCTTTTGGGAAACCCTGATGGCCTGGCAGTGATGTTGGGTCTGACGGGCAAACGAAGTAGATCGGGTGCTGGGTCCGAGCCCGCCAGGGGTATCTGGGGATCTATCGCTCTGGATATCTCTGGTTCCCAGCAATGGGTCAGGCCTCGATCGGGCAGCGGTGTAAATGGGAGGTTGGGGTTCCCCCCGTCAGCGTGCTGATGGTCCCCTTCCTCCTGGCTATTGATGGCGGGTTCTGCCTGTCAGGGATGAGATAGGTCCCGAGTGTTGCTTGCACTAAATGCGTCGGGGCGCTCTACTATGGACCTCTAGGTTCCGACCTAGTGGAACCCAGGTGGAGTGACGCTTAAACAAGCAGCCGGAATCCCTGGTTAGGATTGAGGGGCAACCCTCTTTCCGAAGGGTCTGCTTCGGCAGCCGGCGAGCCTGATGACCTTAAGTCATCCGCCCATGATGTGCTAAAGGTTGATGCGTAAGCTTCGGCCTACATCATGGGGCCCGGGTATGTCCTGGAGGATAGGTACCGGGTAAGCAGTCAGGGGGCTTCGGCTCTCATGACAACAAATAATAATAATAATAATAATAATAATAATAATAATAATATGAAATGCTTACCCTCAAAGCCATGGGGCTGTTGGAATAGTCGACAGGTTGGCACCGGAAACTGTAGTGTCCGAACCACCCTGACATCAGGTACTGAAACAAAATAAATCAAACATTAATGAATATCACCATAATTAGCTGAAAAATCTTCGAAAATTAAAAGACAAAGACTGCAAAATCAGTTTGGACAAAAGATAAATTTTACGTGTTTGGGCTAAAATAAAAGTAATATGCAAAGATTGATAGGGACTTTGGAACCTGACAAATAATAATTAGCAACTCCTTGCTGCCTTTTTTCTAGAGTTTCTACATACAAATGAGAAAGACAAGTCAACAAAATAAATACTGAATAGTCAAATTCTCCAATTTTTTTCAATCATATTTCATATTAATTTTAACTATTAAATTTGCATAATATATAAAACTATGAATCAAGTTTTAAAATTATAAATCAAATTCCCGATAAGGTTATTTTTTACAGTCTATTTAAATATAATTTTGATGATTATAATGTATAGTTAAGTAGATTGGAAGTTTGGGATCAATAGTTAAGCAATACCATTGACTATAAACACAATACTTGGTGTAAGTAATTTAAGTGAAATTATTTTTTAAATATAGTAGTTATATAAAAACAATTGTTTAAAAAGAAAGACAAACTACTGTATTAGCCTAGTTAAAAATAATTCTGTATAGAATAACCCGCTACAATGCCGCTACATAAAATGTCACAGAACCCTTTTTCAGTGACTATTTCTATTTTATTCTATGCATAAAACGCCTTCATTTGATCTCCAAACAACCCAATTCTGAATCAACAACTTGTAAAAATTGTTTGTCAGTTGGTATGATCTTTATACACAGTCGACTGAAGTTTATAAATTGCTATTTGAATCAAGGTGAAGTTTACAAAGATTACAAGCTCAACTCAAGTGTAAAGAGTAAACCTCCGAGCTTAATCATCACTGACATCCTATAATGGCTTTGGAGTTAGTTACAACTGTTGATTGAGTTGGCTTTTGATTAACACAACTGTTTGACAGTATAAGCAATCCTGCAGATAATCAATTTAGCAATTACTTGATCGATTAAAGGTTTAGTGACGACTGCATGATACAAATAAAATGGGAATTTGGCATAGGTAACTACACTAAGCGAAAATGTGAAGAATCGATACTTCTGTTAGCATTACACTTCAAGATTAGGTCAATGTTTAGTATGAAAAAGGAAGGACAGCTTTGGGTTAATTTGATATAAATATGTTTGGATCAAATTAACGGTATCAATGAACTATAAGGTTGTTGGGAGTAACTAAGGTATTTATTTTGTTAAAAATCACAATAGTCGCAATAACCTTAGAACTGTATTTTTTATAGTATCAGGGGTTGTAGCATTTGTATAGTTCTGAGGTCCATAACATAATAAGTTAATAAAAACCGGTAGTGCCATTTTTTTTAACCTCGACTTTTTTGTTATTAATGGGGTTTAATGGGAACCGTACTGTTGAACTGTAATTTTCACAGCAATGGCGGTTGTACTATTTTGTTTAAGCTATATTATAATACATTTTGATCAAAATCGTTCAGGCCATTTTTGTGAAATTCCGATCTTACTACTGTAATTTTAAATAGGAAAACCTCCATTAAAAATCTAAATAAAAAAAACAACTGAAAAACACCTGGAGGTGCACATTTCTACAGTAAGTTCCAACAGTTCAGTTTGATTCGTGACATATCAATTTAATCAAAATCGGACCACAGGTGTAGTCTGTACAAATCCACATACAAACATACAGACATCAATTTGAAAACCAATTTTTTAGGTTTAAGCACGTTTAAGGTACCCAAAACGGTTATCTCCACTCAAAACTCAAACTTGACAATTTTTGACGAAAACAATACTTTCTCCACACACTAATGTATAGGGGGAGAAAGTCAAATATATCTAAGTATGTGTTATGTGTTAATATTTATCAAGTACGAGTGTGTGTGTTAAAGACCAATCACACTCACAAGACTACAGATGTCTGCTCCAATCAGAATCCTGGACTTTGATCCTCTCATCTCAAAGCATTGGTGTTAATTAACAGATCTTACATTTCAACAAACCGCAAACAATCAGGTGTAAACATTGACAGCTAATTATTGTGATGTTATTTATGGAAGGTGAAGGTGACGTGGAAAACTGACAACAAAATAATTAGTTTTGCACATCGATTGTGGAAAAAAACTGATGAACTTATGACTCATTCAAAAATCTACATTGCATGAGGATTGGGAAACAAATCTGAGGTTGCTGTTGTAATTTTCTGAGGTTGACAGTTGAAATTAATTTACTTTTGCAAAACAGCAACCAACAATTTTTTACACGGACGAGTCAAGATCTAGTCTGTGATAGGAAAGTGGTAAAATAGCTAACTTTTAAATAAAGGTTTCCTGGTTCGATCCAGAGCAGAGTCGATGATGATTTCTAACAAAATATCAATGTTAGTAAGAATACATTAGGTTTGGACCGTTCTAGTACCACAAAATAAAACCAACATTGGCGTAGCTAAACAGTAAATAAAGCGCTAACGTGAACTTGATCGTAGAATCGGTTACGAACTGCCCCGCTCCAGCTCTGGTGATAAAACTAAACAAACACTCAATTGATGTGCAACAACCTGAGAAGTGACATCACTCAGCGAGGCATTACCAACATAGGTATAGGTTATTGTCGTCTGTCGCGCCACGCACCAGTCTGTTTAAATAGTCAACAACGTAGTCGACCCAAAATACGTTAGTGATAATAGCGAATCACAGTTAAAGAATAGCAGTTATAGCCGTAGGTTAAAAGTCATACAAAAATATGAAAATACTTCTAGCACTTTTCCAAGTGTCCACGTCCACTACGTTGCAAACTTTACATAGACTAAAGTTGTACAACAAAAGATGTTGCAACGGGTATCAATTCCGACCAGTTACATCGAACATAAACTCCAACCACATCTTATATCCGTCTTGTAATTGATATCTTCATAAGTTCAGACGTATAAAGAAGTGTATTGCAATTAGGATGCATGTAGGCAGTATATTATGTGAAGGACGACGTTAAATGTTCATTTTACAACATCAAATATTAAATTTTCTCGTCAACGGTTGAGCACGAAACACTGTCTCGGAGAAAGGATCGTTTTCTTTGACAGCCTAATTAGGTCTAATACATCAAAGACTTGTTTCCCGTACGAATAAATTTGATAATTTGTAGTGAATTTTGCTTCAGTTTCAAAATTAAACGGGAAATTCCACATAGTATCAGCAACTGTTAAAGAAAACTGGTTGGTGTAATTTTTTGACTAACAATACCCTGAACCATAGATTATTGGTCCATGCGGTGATATAAAGACAGTTAATTATCGTCATGGTTTAAAAATCTCTTGGCCAAGCCATTGAATTTTTAGTATTATTAGAACAAAAACACCAACTTTATCAAAATATTTCCATAAACAAGCCCTACACAACAGTTTATTTATCCTCCATAAGAATAACATGGGTATTTTTAATACATTTTGATACAACAAAGCTTCAATAATTGTTTAAGCTCAACAAAATGGTTTAGAAGGTAACTGCGAAATTTTGTTTTTAGGGTCAAAACTGGGATAAACCACTTTTACCGCATAATACCCCCCATATACCCCCGTTCTCATTGTCTAATCATGCTGGTTCGCAAACTCGTTCAAATTAATAAACGAAGGTTTACAAAATTTTATCAAAATCGGATCAGTTTGGCTCAAGTTATCGTGCTAACAAACACACATATAGACCTACTGTCAATGTATATATACTGTATGTATAAATTTGAACGGAATGTGTTTTGGCCTCTGGGTACTTCAAAACGAAAAAGTAAATCGGTCCCGGGACCAGTTCTTACCATGAGACCTGCGGTAATAGCTTATTACCTAAATGGGAAATTCACTATGCAAATTTGTTTTACATTTTAAACTTCGACAACCAAGAGATTCCAATCTGGGAAACCTTGCGTTGACAATTAAATGCGATGACATTTCAGCCGCTACTACCTTCGTGCTTCGTGCGAGGTGAAGACCTACTTCCAACACTACACACACACCAATACACATAGACGGTGATTGACACATCAACACACGGAAGTAGGGTAGGCATGCTCCGCAGCGCGCCGTCACATAAATTAATTATTTAGTCTGCGCGTCGCTTGGGTAGCCTAAATAGCGTGCGCACAGGCACTGTTATAACTGACCCGGTCTATATAACTGTCGGGCTTTTACAAAACGTTTAGGATTTCAATTGTATAAGTGCGGAAAATCAAAAGACAGTGACAAATCTAAACTGTGTCGGCTGGATCTCTTATAATGAAGACAACATTAATTAAAACTCAAAGTATGAATTTAAACGTTCCGTAACGTTTAACATTAAAATTGAAGTCTATAAATGTGACGTTTACCAAAGTTTACAGTTATACATGTTTAAAGATTACACAAGAGCTATTTGTTCTTGACTAAGCCAACATAAATAGGCCTACTGTTTTATGTTGTCAACTTTTAAACATTTAAAACGTAAAAAATATAATTCAATTCAATTCAAACATTCTTTATTCATAAATTTGCACAAAGGTACAACAAATAGTGTCAATGTTTACAAAAAGAAATAGTAATGACAATAATCCTATATATAAAAACAGTTACACTAATTTCGTCTAAATTAAAAGTAAATTAATTAATGTGTATGGAAGGTTCATTTTCTTATCAATTATTGATTTGATTTGTTACTCATCAATTACTCTAAACTCTGTGGTTTTCGAAAAAATTGGTTAAAGAGTATGGGGCTAATTTTACCAAATATTCCTTTAAGTCATTCTTGCATTTACTTAAGTTTTGTTCACCAAGAAATGACCTTGGTAAATGAAACAAAAATTTTGTTCCCATATATTTCGTTTTCTTTTTGAAAAATTCTAAATTATGTGGTTCTACCGGTCTATTTAATCTGGTGTTGTACGGGTGAACGTTGTTTACAAAATTTAGATTTTCAAGTTGTTTCACATACATTACAGTCTCTAAAATGTAGAGAGCATAAACCGTT